TATTACCGGTCAAATTTTGGATTTACTTCTTAGTTAAGAAGTTGATAGAATTTTTAACATGTCGATTTAAGAGTTCCTGCACCACACATAAAAGAATTTCATTAACTTACTTGTAAGTTTGTGATAATGGACTTCTTTTCTTTTTCTTACAATTCATTTCATCATGCTTGCATTCACTATCACTGGTATTATTATCATTATTGATATCATCGCTATCATTGTTGTTGCTGTTGTTATGTTTGTGATAATTATTGATGTTGCAACTATTATTGTTATTATATTTTCTCTTTTTTTGTGATTTTTGATGATGATTATAATGATGATTGTTGTCATTGTTGTTATTATTATTTTGAAAACTATTGTTTTTAAAGCCAGCTGTAAAATGAGATTCAGACCTTTGATTTTGACTATGGCAATTCATTTCGTATGCATGTTATTAAAGATGAAAAAATGAGCAATATAAACCTCCATTATATAGACAAATTTGATTTGTTAATCAGACTTTGCAATTATTACATTGTGATTGATATATTTGATCATTCGATATTTAACTTGATATAAATGTGATTTGAAATATTATATAAATCGGTTCTGAATTGTTTTCAGAAAACTATTGTGCATCGATTACCAACACCCCCATTGATTACTATTGATAATGATTGTAATTAATTGCAATCGATTATAAACTGAAATCAATAAAAATTGATTTTTAAAAAAATATTCAGTCACTTTGGGACATGATATCTCAATATCTAGTAATTTAATTTCTATGATCCAAGTATCGTTAAATTTGCCCTGACTAAATAAATTGAATGACATTTAGATAGTGCTCCTCCAATTGGGTTGGGTCAAATTCGTGACTCGACCCGAACCGCACACTTCGGGTCGGTGTCAAACCCGAACCGAAATATTTCGGATCTGACTAAAAATCGTTATTTCTCATTCAATATTAAAATTACCGATTTCGAATCGATCCCTTTTGAAAGATTCATCAATGTTGAATATTTCACAAAAGGAGGTTTTGGAACGATTTATAAGCATGGTTGCGCTATTACGACGAGTGGGATTATGAAACAAATAAATTTAAAGCAGAAAATAAATCACTATGTGTTTCAAATCAAATTAGAGCTTATCATGGCCGATATATAAATTCAGCCGCCGGTTGATTTTACAGCCTGGTTGGTTGATTTTCCAGCTGATTTTTAGAACTGTAGTTTGATTTATCATGTGATTCATAACCATATGTAGAAAATCTTTGGGGGTGAGTCAATAGAAACCAAGCAAATTATAAAAGCTTAATTTTGCGATAATCAGTATTTTATCACCCACATTTTACATGTATATGATTAATATATAAAAAAACTTTTCAAAAAATGATCAGTATCGGTATCGGTATGTTTATTTCTATTGTTTTAATGTTTTAATATAAAAACTCATTTTTGAAAAAAAAATAATTTGCTTGACTCACCCCGATATCGTTGGTCAACTAACTAAATATCCAGCTACTCGATAGTAATGAATTATGTATGCAAGTACATGTACTGTATATTAACGTTAATTCACAAATACGAAACATTGACTTGGAACGAAAAATTAGAACATTTATATTGGATTAGCTTTGATTTGCGTAGAGGAGGTATTTGTGCATCGTGACTTACACCCTGAAATTATATTATCGCTATCGTTATTATACAAATTCTTACAAGAAAAGCTATGAAACACTTCCAGTAAAATAAGAAAAGAAGTGCGTGGTTCTTTGTCAAAATTTTGATTTGCTAAAAATGATATATGCGTCTCCAGCTTCTTCGCAAATAATGACTCGAGGACCAATGGAAGAAATTAATTTTGCAGCAACAGACGTAGTCATTCCTATGCTGTATTGTGAAATATAATTGATTGACTCGTGTTATATTAAAAATTACTTTAATGTGTATGCATTTGATTTTTCATCACACATTGAAGGTAAAATAATCACGCAGTCGATAGTTAACATTTGCCCCTGTTGTTAATTCGATTTCCATTTGGTGGCTCCCAATATTTCCAATCATTAAATTCTTCATTATATATTCGACCGCAAATCCATTCGGCGTTGAAGATCGTGCCAAGGTCCGCGATTCAATCAGCCATTGAGGCAACGGCAATTGCATCTGTGCATTCCGAATAGTGCTATCAATAATCTCGTTGCCCAACGTCCAATTGTCAAAGTGCTTTTTAAAGCATCACGAAGACAGTGTTCACAATGACCCATGGTCCAGCCGATTTGTTTAAACGTTAACTGGGCCCTTTTATGCGAAGATTATGGAAATCCTTATTTAAAGTTATTGGCTTCTCCTTTTTCTTAATGTACTCCATTTGTCCCTCGTACTTTTCGTTGAAATCTTTTCCGGGAGATGAAATCGCGCCTATCAATCGCTACTTGAATCACGTCGCTTCGGAGTGACTGTTTCATTGTTGTTTTCTTAAAGAAATTCGTTGACATTATATTTAATCTTTTAGTAATGACAGAAGAATAAATACAAACTCAAATGAATTTCTAGACATTTGATACTTATATAAGGGAAATTGATGTTGTCATTGACCTGACATGATATACTGCAGTGTTTTTTACTTGATGCCTTTATAAGAAATTGATCCAGATTAATGTATTAATCAAAGAACTAATACGTAAAATTTAGGTTATTCAATAGAAGAGAAATATATTGACACATGAATGATCGTAGGGAAAAATTGGCAATTGTCACTCCAGAATAATTAAATAAAATTCCAACAAATACAGTCGTACCTCGTTATACTCAAAGGGTTGGGAAACAGGGATCTGGTGACTATAAGGTGTGACTATATGGAAGTCCGATTTTCTTATATTTTATAACGATAACAATAATAATTGGTACTGGGAAAGAATGTGGCCATAATGATGATGTTGTGACTATATCGAGTGTGACTATATCGAGTGTGACTATAACGCTAAGCTTCTCCCAAAAAATTTTTAAAATCGATTCCTTGAAAACAAAACACTCAAACCTGTAATCTTCTGGTATTTTTAGATTTTTATTAACAAAATTCGGATCTTTACTAGTTCTGAACAAAAAAAATCATGATTTTGACCGAATTATATTCTAGAATTTGTTTAAAAAAACTGGGCCAAAAATACCCTATAAAAAATGTCGGATTTTCACAAGGCTAAAGAATTCATTGCGGAGCGGAATACAGTAAATGAATCTTATCTAAAATAGACATCAATGTAATTTTTTAAAAAAAAATTGTTTAACACCGGCCGGATACTAGGTTAATTTGTTTTAGGTCAAAATAAATAATCGAACAAAAAGAATCAAAAATAAAAAACAATGGTCGAGTGAAACTAAAAAAATTAATGTTATTTGTAATAATAGCGAAGACAAAGCCTGATAATCAGTTTGATATACTTTAAAAAAGCATCATCTTAACGTTAACCCTACATCATGCATATCGTAATCAATAAAGATCCCTTGCATTATATTGATTTCTGGCGATTGATTTGACAATTATATATAGTCAAAGTATAAAGTCTTATCAAAAAAAGTTATCTTTAGAAAATACAAATTACAAATGCCCTGACATTTCATAATATAAAGGATGAATTCCAAAAAGCAAATCATATCGCCCCTTAATAGAATTATCGAAGAAACCTCGGATATAATTAATATTTGTCCCAAAATTTCCGGTCATCTGTGTGAAATGGAAGTTTTACGTCAAAACAATGTAAAGCTTTTGGATGAGAATAGAATCCTTCGTACCAGACTTAGAATTTCGCAGCAGGGAAATAGTGATAAAGATTTTGATTTATACAAAACTATCGGAATTCTCACTTCAATTAACACAAAACTTCAATCGCAAATCGATGAGCAAAAAATTTGTATTCAAAATTATTCGGAAAAAATTACGACGCTTGAACTACAAAATAAAAACATCGACAGATCTAAAGTTGAAAAAATCGATAAGTTGACTAATGAATTAAAAGAAACAGCAAATGATCTTTTAGAAATTAAAAAGTTATATATAGAGTTTAATGAAGCGTATCAAGTTTTATTAAATCGAATGCGATGTAAACCAGCACGAATTCAATTACTTGAATTTCTAGACAATAATATCGAAACATCGTTATGAGTTTAATTTGGTAGATTAATTAATTTACATGTAATATATGAATTAGCAATCTTATAAAAAAATTAGATTTTTAATAAATTACATTCATCTTAAAGGGCTGATATCGAACCCTTCTTTTTTTAACAAAAACTAAACAAAACCCGATCGGTTTCCCTATAAAAAAAGATGTCTTGCATTTGTCTATACATTTCAATTTAGCTTACACTTGTTCTACATGGTTTATACAATATTTATCAAAAATGCATGAACAAATTTATGACATGCCGTAAAACGTTTAATTTAACCCAATTTTTTTTTTAGTAAAACCAATTATTTTTCAGATATTTAACCTAAGAAAATCAGAATATTTCCTGTACTTGACCTGACAAAAACTAATAAAAATCAGATATTCTATATTTTCTATACTTGACCTTAGCAATATCAGAATTCTAAAAAAAAATAATATAAAGAAAATCCAATTCCTGACAAAAATCAAAATAAATTTGTTTATTAGTATTTTAGATATTCTAAACTATATTCTATATTTAATCTGAGAAAAAACTGATTATTATCTGTACTTGATTTGATAAAAACTGTTAAAGTTAGATATTCTGAACCATTTTCTATATTTATCTGAAAAACAACTAATTATTTTCTGTATTTGACCTGGTAAAAACTGATAAAAATCAGATATTCTGGATCATTTTTTATACTTAATCTAAAAAAATCAAAATATTTTTTATATTTGATCTGATAAACCTAATAAAAATCATATTCTGAATTATTTTCTATATTAAATTTAAGACAAATTAATAAAAATCAAAATAAAAAATTGATATTCTATATTATTTTCTATAATCAAATTGACAAATTCCTAATAAACAGAATAAAATCAGAATTAAATTTAGTATTTTGGATATTTTGGATTATTTCTATATTTAATCTAACAAAAACTAGTAAAATCAAATTCTATATTATTTTATATCATATTAATTTGACAAAAAATAAAATAACAAAATATTTTTTATATTTAATCTAATAAAAATATTAATATTAATTTTTAATCAACTTTATTAAATTTAGATTAGATTAAATATTTTGAAATAATAATATTTAATTTAAAATAATTTGAAAAAAAATTTGAAATAAGTTTAATAAAAGCTAGCTAAAAATTAATATTAAACTTATTTTTAATTTTCCACAAATTTTTTTAGATTAAATATTTAAAAGCCAATTAAAATTAATATTTTTTTGAATTCTGAAAAAATTTAAAAATTTCCTGAAAAAAATTTTGCTTTTTTTATAAATATTTTTATTTATTAAAAAAATTTTTTATTAATTTTTTATTTAATTATAATATATTTAATTTTATAAAATTTAATAATCAATAACAATATTTTATTTTAGAAAATTATCTAATATTTAATATTTTTTATTATAATAATTAATAAATATTAGTATTTATTATATAAATTATTATATATAAGTATAATTAACTCTTTTTATAATTATACTATTAAATTTAATAGCAATTTTTTAAAAATATACTTATAAAAAGATTTTATAATAAAATAAATTTTTTATATATTTTAAAATACTTTTTATTTTTGTAATTTTTAAAAATTATTAATTAATATAATAAAAAAATTTTCAAGTAATCTATATTTTGTTAAAATTAATTAAAAATAATTTCTCAAGTTTTATATTATAAAAATTATAAAAATAAGTATATATATTATTATAATATAATTATAATAAATAAAATAAAAACTTTCAAAAAATATACTATAAAATAAAAAATATAAAAGTAATAATTTTTCTATATTTAAAAGTATTATATTATTAACTAATATTATTTTTTTGTTTATTTTTTTTTATTATTTTTTAGATTATATCAATAAATTTTGTTTAATTATTTTAGTTTATATTTTATAATTAGTAGTCTCAATAAGATTAATTATTATTTTATTTTAGTAAGATATTATTAATAAATTTTATTATTTGTTTTTTAGTTATTTAATTATTTTTTTAATTTCTTTTACATTTTTACTTTATATTTCTATCTATTTTTATTCTTTATTATTGATAATTAGTTAATTTATATATAAATTATCACAAAAAATCTTTAGAATCTTTAGTAAATCTTATTAATTATAAATTATTCTTTCATTATTATATTACTTTATTAATTTATTAATTATAATTAATAAGAACTTTTGGTACTCTCTTTATGAAAATATATTTTTTTTTTATAATATTATTTCATTCAATTTATTTAATTTTATTATTACTTATACTTTATTTCTTTTAATTTTATTAACTAGATTCAAATTCTTGAAGCTATTTTTGAATTATACTATTAAGATAATATTTGAAGATATTCTAAATATTTACTTAATTCTATTATTAGAAAAACTTTGTAAAAGTATTATTAAATTTTATATATTTTATTATATTAAAATAAAAACTCAATTTCTAAATAATTATAACTTATTCAACTTGTAACAAATTATATTTATAATTAAAAATTTAAAAAAGTTTCAAATTCTTCTGATAAAAATACTCAAAAACTAATAAAAATATTAAAAAGATAATTAATAAGAAGAAATTCAATAACAAATTATTGTTGCAAATTTTAACTTTGATTTTGAATTTTATCTTCCAGAATTATTTAAAAAAATAACAGATACTAATGTAATTTTAGTAGTTATTAATAAATTTACAATAGCTTTGATAGCTCAAAACAATAAAATAACTAAAAAAAATTATTATATTCATCAAGAAATTTTATGATAAAAATCAAAATTCTGTTACTTGATTAAGAAATTTTGAAGTTTTTATTGAAGTACATAAAATAATAAAAGCAAGAAAAATTCAAATTGTTCATAAATATTTGAAAAGTTCTGCTACTATTTGATTTAATAAAAAAATTAAAATAATATTTTTATTCTAAATGACTGAAAAAATCTTGATTATAATAAATATAACTTTAAATTAATTTATATTTAATCAAAAGATAAATAAATAGAGAAATGAATTAAAAAAATTATAATAAATTGAAATACTTAATAAATATACTGATAAATTCTATAAATAGTTTTATAAAGCAAATTTAAATAATCATATTCATAATAATAATAAAGTTAGAATATATAGATATAGATTAAAATTAGAATTCAAAAAATAAATAAAAGTAAAGATTAATAAAACTCTTGCAAATACTATTAAAGTATTAAAAAAAGTTAAAAAAGCTGAAAATAAAATATTTAATAGAAATTATTATTAATCTCAAGTTATATTGAATAGTAATATAAATATTGTACTAAAAATTCTTTAAAATTTTATCCAATAATTAATTACTACTGAAATCTATAATTAATCTAAAAATAATTTGTACAATTAATATTTTAGCTAAAATTTTCAAAATAATAACTTGTTATAATTATAGTGAAAAAAAATATATTAAATTCAACTATTCAAAATCAAGACAAGATTCAAATTAATAAATATCTTATAAAAAAATTGGCAAAATCAAAATAATAATAATCCTTAATAAAATTCTTTTAATAATAGTCAAAAAAAATTACAACAAAATAAATTATTTTTTTAATAAATATACAAAATCAAATTAATTCAACTCTTTTTACATAACTTCAAGTACTAAATTCAAATTTGCAAAATATATATAAAAAACAAACCAATATTAATAACTTATTATTAGTTAAATATAATTATTTTGCAAGTAAAAAATAATAAAAAATAATTGAAAAATATTATTCACTTGAAAAAAGATCTGTTAATTAAAGTAAAAGTAATCAAATTAAAAATAAAAAAATAATATAATTCTTGTTAAAAATAATAATATTGTTATAATATAAATATTTAGTTATATTCTATTGATAAACTCATATCATAAGTTAATTAAATAATAATTTAGTTAATATTATTAATAATAATTAAAATAATATTATTAAATAAGATTTGAGTTATTAATAATTAATTTACTAAATTATATAAATAATCCAAGTAATCCAAATAATGATAACAAACTAAGTTATTTAAGTAATAATTATCAAGAAATTCAGAAGATATCAGATTTATAACAATCTACAAATATATAGAATTATCATAATTTTTTTAATCAAATTAACAAAAATCTATAAAAAATTATAAAAATACAGATTTTGATCAATAATCTATATATTTACAGATTATTACAAATTTATTTATTTATTATTGTAATTAATAAATATATAACATGTATTATTTTTAAACTTTTTTGAAGTCTATCAATAATATAAACTTGACTTTAATATTATTTGCTATTTTATATTTTTTAAAGTTTTAAAATATATATTTATTTAACAAAAAATGATTTTTTTATTAAATCATAATACTATATATACTTTTTAATTTATAAATTCTATTAGAATTATATTTTCAAATTGACTTATAAACAATATTATAAAAGAAAACTTAATTTTTTTACCTTGTTCTTATTATAAATATCAAAATAAATATATATATTACTGGTAGTTATAACAAGAAATATTTTTGTGATTACTTTGAATAATATATATATTAATTCAATTATGATGGATAACAACAAAATAAAAATACTGTTAGAAAATTGAAAGATTATAAAAATATTAACTTTAATATATATATTCAATATAATAAGATTGGAAAAACTATTCTATCATAAAATTTTTCAAGCAATATACCAACAAATTATATTAAAAAGAAAACTATAACTGGTTTATTTAAAATATATTAATATCAAATTTTGTTAAGAATATTTAATTTTATGTAATAATGAATTTTGCTCTAATTATATATAGTTAAAACAAACTTTTTACTAATAAAAACAAACAAAAAAAATATTAATAAACTAAAAATAATAATTAATCAAACAAATAATCTAATAAATAAATTATAATATAATTATTATCAAAATTTGTTTAATGAAGCTCAACTGATATTAAAAACTTTTCAAAATAACATATAATTATTATTATCAA